CTCCACAACCACAAACGACTTCTGGCGTCAGCAAAGCAGTCATTCGGGTAGTACTGCTGCGAGTTCTCCCTCAGCCATATACTTTGGAAACGATGCGAATTGGTCTGCCTAGCAGTGGTTTCGAAGAAGAAGCACGATCATGAATGGTGGAACCGTCGAAGCGTCGCCGGAAACCGGTGAATGCGAAGTCTGTTTCCAAGTAATGATTCATTTTACATTTATAATAACCTAGTCACACTTCTTCTGTTCATGCCAGTACAGTATGCTCTACTTTATACATAGAAAACAACTGAGCAAACAGCGACCGTCGCAACTAATTGAAGTCCAGCGTCACATCAAGTTCTACTCAGACCCGTTGTTCGTATTGTTCGGTCACATTTTACGCTGCTATCGTTGGCCCGTATGTTTCATAGAGAGGTGTGTCGTGTCGTTTCGTGTCATCGTATTTCTCTCTGTCTACTGGCCTGAACATGCGGAGTTTAAATAGCGCGAGTTATCTGCTCGAATAAACATGGCCGTTAACCCGCAATGCCTCAAAGTTTTGGACACCTATCTCTCGAACTGATGGTGAGGTGCGGTTTGAAGAATTCAGCGGTTGCTGTCATCGTCATCTACGGTTAACAACCTTAACCGGCACGGTTTTACAGCGTAGGGATGTATCATTCAGTTGAAAGGGGGCCAGGTTGCCAACAGGAGAAAGTGCTGCACTCTACATGTTCGCCTGCTCTTATGAACGGTCATACACAACCTTTAGGTCTGCATGTTGCCGACGATTAGTGTCGTCAGTTTCCCTGTTTCCGTACAACACGAAGTCTACGAATGGTGAGAATTTAGATTACAGAAACGTCGCACTCCATGTTTTTGCCCCAACTCCCATAGGTCGATATGGCATGAATGTGAGAACAGTGACAATGAATGCCGGCAGGGCTTAACTCTTCCAAGGCCGGTTTTAATGGCGTATTATCTCATCTTCTGGCATCGAGCTTCCTAGGAAGCTGTTTAAGCAGCCCCGTGCTCCGAGGTATTTAACTTGCAGCGGAATGATTAATGCTTATTACAGAGATATTTCGATCATGAATCTCTGCAGCGTAATGTAGAAAAGTTTTCGAATCCTCTGCAAACACTCAATGATAAGGACATCAAGAAATGATTCTTTCATTCTCTAAAAATGCAAGCAACTTGTAAAAAAATAGCGTCAAACATGGTTTTATTATACACAGCGCAAAGGATACTGCGATCAGTCAGTCCGGCGACTGATCAACACCGATGTTTCGGCCCGTGTCTCTCGGAGTTTTCTTGAGCGTGGCTGGTCGTCTGCAGCAGTCGAGTGTTACGGAGCCAGAGGGCACACTTTCAGTTCATGCTGCTCGTTACATTATTTTTTGGCGACAGGGGCGACGAGGTTCATCCAATCCGCGAAGAGTGCGTATCCTCTGCCACGGTTGACGTTCTCGCAGAACTGGACAATTAATGCATCATTTTTCCATCTGTGTAGCCATTGTCTCACTTTGATGATGTTCTTACACTCAGACCATTGGGGGGGGGTGGACTTGCCTCGCCGCATGCCTGCACAATCCCGGAGGTCTTCTTGCGTACCCCCAAGCACAC